TAGGTAATACAAGGTAGGAACTACAAGGTATAGGCAATACAAGGTATATAATACAAGGTATAGGTTATAAAAGGTTGGTAATACAATGTAGGTAATACAATGTAGGCAATACAACATAGGTTATACAATGTAGGCAATACAAGGTAGGCAATACAACATAGACAACACAACATAGGCAATACAAGGTAGGTAATACAAGGTATATAATACAAGGTATAGGTTATAAAAGGTAGGTAATACAATGTAGGCAATACAAGGTAAGCAATACAACATAGGTAATACAATGTAGGCAATACAAGGTAAGCAATACAACATGGACAACACAACATAGGTAATACAAGGTAGGTAATTGATAGGTACTACAAGATAAGTACTACAAGGTAGGTAATACAAGGAAGGCAATACAAGGTAAATAATACAAGGTAGGCAATACAAGGTAGGTAGTACAAGGTAGGTAATGCAATGAAGGCAATACAAGGTAGGTAATACAAGGTATGTAATACAAGGTACATAATACAAGGTAGGTAATACAAAGTAGGTACTACAAGATAGGTACTACAAGGTAGGTAATACAAGGAAGGCAATACAAGGTAAATAATACAAGGTAGGCAATACAACGTAGGTATTACAGGGTTGGTAATACAAGGTAGGTAATACAAGGTAGGTAATACAAGCTAGGTAAGTAATACAAGGTAGGCAATACAGAGTTGGTACTATGATAAGGTACGTATTGCATACCTGTAGGAAATGTACACATACAACAACAAGAGTGCATAGTAATACAGTAACAAATTGTGCCACAGGACAATATCAAGCTTTCATCACGACCGAGTCATGAAATTCTGCCCAACGCACTAGCAGTTTATTCATGCTACGACTCTGCAGTAGATACTTACGCCCTCTAGTGCTGTTATTCTCGCTTCATACTGCTCGTTAATGGCTTCCGTGTCGTTGGCTTGCCTATCAAGCTCCCCTATCAACTGCTCCTTCATCCTGGCGAATACAACGATATTATTATAATATTATTAATCATCTGTGAACAACGAAGGGTTGGGATTTATCGCGGATTTTCGTCATGGATCGCTTTTTATTATTTGTTCATTTTTGTAATTATTAGTGGACACAATGGGAATAATATATTCACCTTTTACTGCATTATATTACTAAATTGACATTTTTACATATAGAAGTAAAGAGCTAATAATACCTAGAGTGTACAACGGAAAAACGGGAAAATAGTGCTATTTCACGACTACATTATTCTACTTTGCCTGCGAGTCTAGAATAATTTCATGGTATTGCATTAAGCAGAATTCCTTGCTCTCTACAACAAGACCAACCGCTTGTCAATACGATACTCCTAGGCGAATATATCTGCTCCTAAACCTCCCCTCCCACATGCCTTACGCTGCTTTGAATCCACATCATTCAGCAACCTCCACGCGTCTAAGCATTTTGGCTATCGGTTTCCGTCACCGCTTGGAGCGCTGATAATTGATGTCACATGCCCAAATTTGGTACTCTTACTACACTGAGTAACTGAGCTGCGTTGTAAAAACTTGATGGC